ACTCATCCGTTTAAATTATATTAAGCCTTAAAGTTCTGCATAATTAAGGGCGTGGCCACTTGAGTGACAGGTGGACTGCAGCTCTGCTCCAGAGTGTAAAACTCGCTAGACTGTGAAGTTAGAAAAATGGCTTTAAAGATTTTTATTTGTCCAGAAAAAAAAATAATTATGGGTAGGACACTGGAGATTAGATGTTTTAATGAAAATGATCTCAAACTTAATTTTTACCACTATTTTGAAGTTATTGTAGGTACTCTGCCTTTGCACTGTCTGCAAAAAATGAGATGTCACACCAAGGCAAAAGGCAGTAGCTTCCACATTATATACAATATTTGGGTGCTGATCACCATTTACAGAATCATTATAGTAACATCTGTATAAAATCTAGTGATCATTGGCTAGGCTATAACATATAGTAATGTAATTAAAAAAAAATTTCTGATCGTAACAACCAGACAAAAATTTAGACGTGAGTGGATACCGTTTTGCAACTAATTTATTTGCAATGTTTGCTAACATTAAAGGATGCAAGACATACTTGGCCCAGGGCCGGAGTGGGACTCATTTTAAGCCCTGGAGTTTCTTGCCTTAGACTGGCGCACTTTGTTTTTTTTGTTTTTTTTACTGGCCTTTTCAGTGCCACCTTTGCGCTATCTATTATTTTTTGCTAGCATATCTCCAACAATTACTTTTTTTTTGAGCAAGGTTCCGCTGTCTTGGGAGTCAAAAGATGATTACATCATCATTGCCAATTAACATAAGAAATTGAAAATAAGGGACAATTGTGATTCTTTATCTTATTCTTTAAGAAAATAGTGTTTATTCTTTAAGAAAATAAGGGACAGCATAAGGGACGTTCCAGATATTTGTACTGTACCATAATGTAGGCCTAACTGCCTGCAGTTAAAAAGTTCTCAGAAATAATCACAATTGTTTTCCTTAACCTATTTATCTACAATTATTCTAAAAAGAATTTTAAATGTCATACAAAAAATATCATCGGCCTGAGTAAATTGTACCATTATAGAATTGTGACTTCACACATGTAATTGAGGTGAAAATACTGTGAAATTACAAATGGCATGAAATTTGAAAATCTAACAACTGAAGGTCTATGAAACGTCAGTCAATCAAGCATTTATTTATTTATTTTTTAAATAATGGCACTTAAAGTTTTGATCTAAAATATTATTGCAACTATAGCCTTTGAATGAATGAAAATGCATATTTTTCAATTAAAGAAAACTTAAGAGAGTGTGGGCCGCTTCTGGTGCTTGGATTTTTACTTCAATAATGAGGTCCAAGTTTAAGAATAGCCTACGCAAGAAAGAAAATAAGGGACGTTCCAAATATTTGTACTGTACCATAATGTACTTCACACGTGTAATTGAGGCAATGAAAATACTGTGAAATTACAAATGGTCTATACCATATGGTACAAACGTCAGTCAATCAAGCATTTTTTTTTTTAAACAATGGCACTTAAAGTTTTGATCTAAAATATTATTGCAACTATAGCCTTTGAATGAATGAAAATGCATATTTTTCAATTAAAGAAAACTTAAGAGAGTGTGGGCAGCTTCTGGTGCTTGGATTTTTACTTCAGTAATGAGGTCCAAGTTTAAGAATAGCCTACGCAAGAACTATATATATATATATTTTTTTTTGTAATGCATTTTTTCCCCTCTCTATTTAACAGCATTAACTTACAATGAAAGACCTCTTCCCTCGGGTAGATTAAATGTTTTCCTGCCGTGCTGGATGTTGGGCTCATGATCAATAAGTTGTTTGCATTCGCCCAAACTGATTTCATTGTTTCACAATTTCTGATATGAACTGGTGAAAATAATACTATGGCCTGTGAGAAAATAAATAAAAAGAGTGGGGCTGCTATGAGTGCAGGCAGCCTAGGAACAGCATAGTTCAACCCAGTGGCATGACAACACCGGCCCTCGCGGCCAAAAAACAGACCGGCCCACCGGGAATCCTCACGGTGCTCCCGTCTATCTAATTTGTTTGTCTAAAGAAGTGCCGACAGATGTATGAAACCCAAGTCACACCGTAATTTAAAAGCTCAGACTTTAATGTACAGTAAAAACAGGGGCAGAATACCGTATAACTCCAGGCTGGTACAGTAATACTGACGAACGGCTAAACAGATGCAGAGCACCGTAACTTAATTGGAGCGATCTAAAACAAAGTCAAAGAGCGGTAACTGATGATACGGTGTTCTGCCTTGGTTTCTCCTGGGCTTTTCTCCAAGATACTTATACACATGATCAAGGAGGTCATATATGTCCCAAAATTATCAATAACTCATTTCGATCAAAAACAAAGTTATGGTGTTTTGTCTTTGCACGGCAGCACTGCCGTCACCATAGACAGGCGTGGTTTCAGCAACTAGCGCCTCAGCTTCACCCACGTCCCGCCTTTTTGCCCATTTTCGATTATCCGGGAGTGACGTGCGGTGACGTGCTGCCAAGATGGCGGCGGTCGGCTCCACCCACTTTAGGCTTCAAAAATGCTCTTCTGAACCCTACGAGTGACGTCACGGACACTAAAGCGATTATCTCACGCAGCCATCTCCCGTCTCTCCTCTCTTCCCTCAGCAGAGCCTCTCGTTCTTGCCTCTCCTCCCGCTCCCTCTCCTGCATCTCTCGGAGGAGCTCATATAGGGAATCATTGGCCTCTATCCTCCTCCTTTTGGGGGTGACTCTAGGCTCCTCGCTCCTTTCATAAGTCAACACTGAGGGAGGTGAACACACTACTAGGGTTGGGTATCGATTGGGTTTTTTATGATACCGGTGCCAAATCGATACTTTTAAAACGGTACCGGTGCCTGAACCGATACTTTAAAAAAAAGAGCCACACAAAAAAAAAAACCGATGGATAACATTAAAGAACATTAGAAATATTTAAAATAAATATACATAGCATTCACATGCTCCTCGGATGCTCTCAGTTCCCGAGTTGTGCTTCCTTTACTCTAAGGCTAATAAATGTATTTCACGATCTGGGTCATTATTTCATACAAAACAATATTTAATACAAAACGACACATAATGTTTCTACTGTATCTCTGTCAATCACTCTGATATTTAGTTGAATTAGTGAATTGACTGAGTGCTGTCTGTCACCGTCTTTAATCAGTTCTGTGAATGACTGTATGGTATGCCACATGCACTGTAGCAACATGATCGTTTTATAAATTATGCGTTCATGTGTTAAGGGCTAGATTTTCGCTGGAGGAAACAGCTGTGGTGTGATGAGGGGTGAACGCAGTGAAAACTTTACAGTAGATGGGAAACCGATTGCTCCCTCGTGACCTTTTGTAAACTGTATTTATGACAAAGAACTTTTAAAAAATTTATTTTTATTTTTTGCAAATATGATTTATTCTGAAGCAATATTCTTATCAGTTTTCTATCAGCTGTGACATAAGTCTGAATGTTTTTTTATATTTAATCCAAGGGCATTTTTTACCTTTATAGAGGGCATTTTCCCTCTAACCTCATTAATACTTCATGTTTAATTTCTAATTGAACTTCATATGATGCGATTTCAATTGTTCCTTTCTCTTTGGAGTGTTACAAGCTCTTGGTGCATAAAGAAGATCTGTAAAGTTGCTTCCTTCGTCGATTGTCGTTCTCAAGCCCACCGCCTCTGCTCACTCTAGCCCCCGTGTGTTTCGTTGTGAAAGCGAAACTACTTAGTTTGGTCTTCCAAAAGAGGACACGACTAGAAATCATTGAGCAGTGTAGAGTAGCGCTTGTTGTTTGTTGTTTCTCCCATCACAAATGCAGACATGGTTTTATGTTTACGAGGCGCGATGCAACGCAACGCATAAAAAGACAGTATAAGTCATTATAATCTGTAATTATGTCCCCACTGGATGCAACAAATGCCTCGTTTATAATGTGTTTTAATGTTTTTGTCTCGTCGCTCCGGCCGGACAGGGCATCATCACAGTATGGTGAGGGACGTAACATTTCCGTCACACGCTTGAGGTATTCAGCCAATCACAACGCACTGGATAGCTGGCCAATCAGAGCACACCTCGCTTTTTAATATTCTACACCAATTTAATAAATAAATTTAAAAAAAGGTTACCCAGAGAACATCCGCAGAGTCATCAAATGTTTCTGCCTCCCCACAAAAGTAACACCGGTCACTTAGGTCATCTATGAGGTACAGTACAATGGACAAGGTATGATATTTTTTAGGTCAAATCTTCAAAACACTAATGAAAGTGATGCACAAAAAGCATGTCAGTAACATTTGTGGTAAAAAAAAAACATACCAGATTGGTCAAGCAGAGTTGATGCAATCTCCATTCTGAGTTGTGTTACGTCTTGTGGCGCATTGGAGAAGTCAATGTTGGTATTTTGCAAAATATGTTCTGCAAACTGGAAAAAGTTTAAAGAAAAAGAAAAATTAAACACAAATCCTCCTATTTCAATTAACATTTCATATGTCATAGGTCTTCAACCCTGCTCCTGGGGACCCACTGTTCTGCAAAGTTTATTTCCAACCTGCTTTAGCACACCTGGCCTCTGACTTGTCAAGTGATCCTGAAGACCTTGATTAGCCAGTTCAGGTGTGTTTGATTAGGGTTGGAGCGGAACTCTGCAGGAAAGTGGGTCCCCAGGAGCAATCACAACAAGAGAATATTAGTGCAAAAAGGGGATAAGGGAAAGCTCAAAGGAAACTGTTCTCCATCACAAACAAACCAATGGTGACACTCATTTACAATGCCCACTATGACCTCATAGTTTGCTGGGTCCACCTGAAAATAAAAATGTTATCAACACATTGCTAAGCAAAGCATCTAAGGCCTTTTGTACCGACAACACAAATTAATTTTACACATGGCCCGAACAAAATTAATATAAAAATTAATTAATAAAGCATTAATATATACAACAGACCTTGAGTCCCTGATATTTTCCATTCCACATGGCTGTTATAGCAAATGTGTCCATATGGAAGGCTTTCTCTGGTGAGGTCAAATTGTGCTGCCTCACTTTCAGTGTCAGATATGCATTTATTACCTTGGCAAACATTGGAAAATAAAACATTAATTCAAAATATTAATACACTACATGAAAACCTTATCTGACACAAAAAAACAAACAAACAAACAAACAAACAAACACATCAATAAAATATATACCTCACTCTCCAACTCCAACTTCCCAGGGCCGATCTGTAAAAAAATGGTAAAATAACTAATAGGGTCCCACTTTGGACAGCAGTACATGACTGTCATTTCCAGCCCAGGCACTTTTGATACCTACAGAAAAGAAAGCACTCACCACCTGACAAATATTAGAATTCAGACCAACATTGATCGATTACAACATGAGATTTTACATCAGCACTTACAGCTATGTACTGCCTCCTTGGCGTCAGCTGGTATAACTGTTGCTGTTGCCAGCGTAGTGGTGTGGGACACAGGAGAGGAAGTGGCATTGATAAATCCAGTGGAGACAGGGAAGAGGATGATTTGGGGGAGACACGGGGAGAAAGCTTTGGTGCAGTTCAGTGGTGTAACTACAGACAGTGCAGGCAGTGCAGCCGCACTGGGGCCCGTGCCGGGGGGGCCCGCAGCCCACGTGGGCCCTGCCCACATTGCAAGCGACTATATTAATATAAATTAATTATAAATGTACTAATAATAAAATACAATTAGTACCGAGATTCTTCACAGTACTGAATAAATACATAAATTCGCGTTGATTATTTGTGTGCTTTAGTGGTCTAGTGGTAGAGCTTTTGTCAAGCATTTCCGAGGTTCTGGGTTCTGTGTAGTTTTTTTTCTCTCATTAAATCCAAAGGTGTTCATCAGTAATTGTATATCGAGAGCAAAGACATGTTTGTGTGCATTTTATTTTGTGCTTTTACCAGAACAAAGCGTACGATCGTCTGTGTGAAGACTGCGCATTGTGCACGAGTGCCAAGAGAGAACTGATAACAGCAGCAACGAGCGTTCGCCATAACACATTCCAGCGATAGATCCCCTGTTATTTAACACAGACCAACGTTTTCAAATGGAGATGTTTCTTTAGGTACATCCGTGCGTGCCGCGAGATGTTGCAAAAAGTGGTGGGGGGTCGTGGGGACACACGTCCCACCCGTAAATAAAAATATAACAGAATGAATAGTCTTGTTTTATTTGTTATATGTCATTTCCACGACTTTCCAAAAGAGGAGAAAAATATTGAGATTGACATGTCAAATTTGCCGTCACTCCCTCAGGCGTTGTATAGAAACACCCTCGCAGCAGCGCTAATTATTTTTTGTCCTAACATTGTGATATGCTTGAACTGTTTTATATCTATATAATGATCTAGATAGTGAGGTCTACAGGTGTAGGTGAAGGGTTTTGTCCAGTTTCTTCATGTGGTCTTTTAAGTTGGGGTTCATCTAGAGTAAGTCTGTGGGGTATCCGGGGCATGTCTTCTTTAAATAATTTTAGGTGGTCTGTACTGATTTTGGAGTATATGTAACCCTTCTCATCCCTCAGATGTGCGCTCTTGTCTTTTAGGAGTATAATTTCATATGGTCCCACCCAGCTGCGCTCAAGCTTGCCCCCTTCCTCTGCTGGGTCCTTATGTTTTTCTGTAGTACCTTTTGGCCTTCAGAGAACGGTGCCTGATTTGCCACCCTCTGTCTCTGCTCCTGTTTTTTTTTTGGTTCTTAGACCAAACATTACTGCATCTAGGTACTCATCCCATTTTCCAGGTTGTGCATCCACGAGATTACACAAGGCTCTAGAGTCAGAACCAAAAGAAGTTGAAAGTTATCAGTAGCCTGATATATTACCTTGAATATTGTATTCCCACAAAGCCACCTGTTAATAAAGGTTCAGCTCTGAATGGTTCCATTTAGTTTTTCCACAAGCCCGTTAGTTTGTGGATGATATGGGGCACAGAGGCTTCTTTCCACACTGAGGAAGGCACAGAGTTCTTTATTGATCTGTTTGCAAAACATGCATAAGATTTGTAGGATTCTGATTTGCACAAAACATTTGGTTCATTGCATATTTTATGTACACAATTTTTCCATGCATACAAATTTGGTTCATTCAGCAAGCTACAAACCTGATTCTCAAACTCAGTGCCTTGGTCAGTGAGTATCCTCTTTGGTGCCCCAAACCTGTTAAAGAAATTGAAGATGCAGCGAGAGACAACTGCAGCAGTTTTATTTGGAATCACATAAGCCTCTGTCCATTTTGTGTAATAGTCAACCAGGACACAGATGTACTCATTTCCTTTGTTGGTCCTGGTGACTTTCCCCACTAGGTCCATACCCAGCAGTTCCAGAGGCTTGTCCACCTTAAACAGGAAAATAACAGCCTGCTGAAAAGGACAGCCTGCTAAATTGGCACTGGGCACACTGCAAACCCTGATATTCAGAAATAAGCACATGAGAAATGCAATCTAAAACAATCCATTTGTATCTCACAGCAAAGGTGAAAGGAATAATTTTATATTAACCCATTTATCAATGTCCACCCCCATTCCAGGCCAGTAGAATCTGGCTAAAATGGCAAGCTTTGTCTGTTCTGTTCCGCAGTGTGCTCTATAGGGGCTGGCATGGTATGGCAATTCTAAAAAGATTTGGTTGGCCTCTTTTTGCCCAACAACCACTTTTCTTCTCAACTCAACATTGTTTTTTGAGGAAATGTGGTAAAGTCTGCCATCTATTAAAACAGCATTATTGTTAGCAAAATCTAAAATAAAATAAACAAAAAGACAACTAGCAAAGATGTTCTGAAGGCCTAATGCAAGAAAATGATATTAAAGAACAGGTCATTTTTACCACTGTAATTGCTGGAAAGTCAATTTAGTATAGTTTATTGACAAGTATTAACTTTGTATCAAGTCTCACTGTCAGTAGCCTATATGAATATCACTTAGAGTAGTTTGCTTACCATCAACAAGTCTGCAAATGACATATTTATGCTCTTTTTATTATGTCAAACGGGTAAATGCCACGAGTTTTATAATTGAATGTTTCCTCAAACATTTTTGGATCCATTGTCACTTGCTGGCATTTTCATACAATCTGAACAATGTGGCATGGTCATGTCCCCAATTTATAGCTCCATTGATTAACTTGATTATTTGATTTCATTAGTGCCCTCTGAAATTAGGCTATGTGCCAGTTACTATAATTGGCGGTATATTTACCCTTGCATCTTGTATTGAGACCTTCTTGTGAAAACAATAACGTTTTGTAGTGTTCAAATTCAATATATGCCATGAAGTTATCAGTTAGAGGACTGATAGATTAATTATTATAATGTATTATAGTCTTGTATAGAAATGATAATATGAGGCGTCGAGTTTAGATGTCTGCACTGACAGATTAGGCTAAATTGTATATGTAAATTTCAACTACATAAACTCAGACATTAGACAAAAACAAAGGAACATTTGCAAGAATAATTAAAACCACAGAACATTAACGGGAGTGTGACAATAATTTTATTACGCTGCAGTGTAGCAAGACATTGGAAAGTAGCGCCAACACTTTTGTCCCTTTTCGCTTTCCGTATATCCAGTTGCGCTTCGGTGCCTCTGTGTAAGTTGTCAGCGGACACGCTTCGTAGAGGAGGAACAGGGATTCCAGAAGGGAACAGAATCGACTGCTACAGCGGCGATTCACAGACGATCAGCTTTAGTGAGAGTTTGATTCTGACATACAGATGTGTTTTCTGCTATTAAACTCTACACAGCCTTATTAAAGTGCCTGCTTTGTGATAATTGAGTGATGACGCCAAGATCACTTTAAAACATAAAATAATAGACTGTTACAATAACATGTTTGCATTTCCAGCATGAAATATCGGCCAGTTTGTCTTTCTCTCTCACTCAGTCTCTCTCCAGTTATGATACTGTGCTGAATCATGACATATGAATCTCTATATGCTGTGAGTTCAGTTTCATGATTACATGACAATCATCGCATGACAAGCGATGAAATGAAGCAGGAATCATCAGCACTGATTCAGAATGAATTCTCTTCACATCTGCATTATCCTCTATATGCAGTGAGTTCAGTTTCATGATTACATGACAATCATCGCATGACAAGCGATGAAATGAAGCAGGAATCATCAGCACTGATTCAGAATGAATTCTCTTCACATCTGCATTATCAGCTGCTGCTGACATTAGTCTAAGCTCTGTGTAATATTTCTGCCATATTTCAGCATTTTCATGTATATTTATTATTTACAGACCAAAAATGTCTAATCTGAGAAGCAATGTTTAGGGTTTGATATCAAGAATAAGGATTGCTGCTTCATAGAAGCTGCTTGATTTATCTATAGACTGATGAATATAACATGCAAATACGAGGCACGGCACCTTTTTCACTTTAAAAAATAAAATGTGCTGGAAAAATTAATGAATACACTGAAACTCGTTGTGGAGGAAGAGCAACTATTAAATATTTGACAAAGATGTCTCAGATTTCAGTTTTTTTTTTTTCACCAGCGCTTCAGCAATTAAAGATCAGTCGTGAAAATGATCATCATCAGATGTCGTAATCATTAGTTGATTTGTGCGCAGAGAAGCCGTCAGTGACGTCACGTTACAGCAGCAGAAACACATCAACCCTCTGAACAGGGATTCATGCTTTTCTCCTGCTGGTGAAGTGAAATGTTCAGTAAGACACAAAAGCGTTAGTGAGTTCAGATTCTGCCGATGGTCATGAGCTCTGGATCTCTGTTCATCTCAAAGGGGTTCAGTGGGTTCAGATCTGGCCTTTGTGCAGTTCTTCCACTGCAGTCAGTAAACCATCATTTTATGGACGTCAGAAGAAAAGGATCCTCCACAAACTGCTCTAGCTCAACGTCTGAAGCGCCACATTCTCTTGAATGTCATTGTGTGTGTAGCATTAAGCTTTGTTTTCACTGGAATCATAATCACAATATTATGTGTCATTTGTTCTCTTGTGTTTCTGTCACGATTTTTCACTGGAGTACCCATGATCTCCACCAGAGGGCACTCCATCCATGACTTTTACTATTCACCCAGGACACCCATAATGCTTTGCCTGGACTCATTAGCACCTCATCAGTCACACACTATAAGAATGGCACACACACACAGTGTCTCAGTCAGCTCCCGAGCTCGTGAATCAGTAGATCGTGTTCACGAATTCGGGCACTGGTAAGTTCCCTGACTCACTGCACGTTGGGACAGTGATCACTCGAATTCCAGTGACATGATTACGTACAACGTCAATGGACAACATAATAGAACGTCATCACTGGAATTAATAAACGACAGGCAGGACCAATCTAATTTTTTTAATATTTTTTATTCTTTTTAAACACATTGTTCTGTTATATGTTCTTACAACATTTCAGTCGAATATTGATTATAAATGTTAATTAGATGTGTTCAATTCCTGTCTAGCGATGTGTGTTTATGTTGAAATATACTAAAAAACGGTTTGTCTTTTCAAATCTTCTATTGCGCGTCATTATATATATCGAGTTGGCTTGTGTGGTTTATGTTTCACGCTTCAGAATGTGACGTTATTTCCGGTAAGGGAGCATATTGAGCAGCGATGCTCCCTAGTTTTTGCGGTGCATTGTGGGATTTTTCAGGGAGCGAATGTTCCAGTGCATTGGAAGGATTTCGCGATTGAGACAGCCCTTAAAATGGCTGACTCCCTGATCAGTGCCCTGACTACTGAACAAGGGAGCTGATTAAGACGCACCAACTCTCACACCGCTGATGACTGTTAAGCCTGTAGTGTTCCCGTGTTCTCCTTGTTCCTTGTTTCTGACCCTGGACTGTTTCCTTGTTTCTTCATTGTTTGTTTACTGCCTGCCCTGACTATTGCCTGTGTATTGGATTACCCTTTTGCCTGTGCCTTGGATATTACTGTTTGCTGGTGTTTTGACCCTGCTTGTCTGACCACACTTTTAATAAAGCCTTGCTTTTGGATCCTCCTGACGTTACAGTTTCCATATGCAGGTCTGAAGTCAGTTTGTCATTATGGAGAACAGAGAGAGCGGTGAGAGATCTTCATCTGCTGATCCCAGCTGTGTGTCTCTGAAGAGTGACGAATCCATGGGCCTTCCTCTTAAATTCAGTGTTGATCCAGTGACCTCTGACCCCAGGTGAGAAATGAATCCAGTAATAGAAACATATTATTAAAAACATAAAATTGAAGTCTTCTGTGCTTCACAGTCTTCATATGTTTTTCAGCACCGTGTAAAACAAAGAAATCAGAAACACACAAGAGATGAAAAAGCCACAAGCTTGTTTAAATTATTTAAACCAAAAGTATAGCTTAAGTTGAAGACTAATGTTATCATATAATCTACACTACACTGCATGTTATATGTGACCCTGGAGCACAAAACCAGTTATAAGGGTCAATTCATCTGAATCATCTGAAGGCTGAATAAATAAGCTTTCCATTGCTGTATGGTTTGTTAGGATCGGACAATATTTGGCCGAGATACAACTATTTGAAAATCTGGAATCTGAGGGTGCAAAAAAATCTAAATATTGAGAAAATCATCTTTAAAGTTGTCCAAATGAAGTTCTTAGCAATGCATATTACTAATCAAAAATTAAGTTTTGATATATTTACGGTAGGAAATTTACAAAATATCTTCATGGAACATGATCTTTACTTAATGTCCTAATGATTTTTGGTATAAAAGAAAAATCGATAATTTTGACCCATACAATGTTTTTTTTGACTATTGCTACAAATATACCCCAGCGACTTAAGACTGCTTTTGTGGTACAGGGTCACATATGGTTTCACATGTTTATGGTTAAATGGTGTGTGTGTGTGGCAGACAGAATATGCTGGTGGTCATTAACAAAATCATGTTAAGATGATTTAAAGTAGCCTATGTATAGTTTGTTGAAGCATATTTGTCATACAATCTACACTACACTATATGTTAAATTGAGAGAGAGAGTGTGTGTGTGTGTGTGTGTGTGTGTGGGAGAGACAGCAGGGTTTGCTGACAATCATAAACAAAAGCTTGTAACATGAGGGTGATCAGAGGAATCACAATCAGCAGTGACTCAGTTACTCATTAGAAACACAGACGGTGTGAAACAGCCATTAGAGACAGACTTATAATAAATGAAACAGCAGACACAACTAAAGGAAGAATGATTTCTGTGTGTTTTGTCAGTATCTGGCGTCAGAGATCTTCATCTGCAGATCCCAGCCGTGTGTCTCTGAAGAGGGACATATCATTGGATGCTCCTCCTAATTTCAGTAATGAACCAGTGACCACTGACCCCAGGTGAGGATAAATATGTGGTGGTGGTTTAACTGATCTAGTGAAACTTGGAGACTTAAAAACACAGAGAAATTAAATGCATGTGTAAATGAATATTAGTGCTGTACTTCACTCTGAAATCCAGTACATCAGACTGTATACCTTTTGGCAATTTGGTAAGCACAAAAAGCCATATTGCGATTTTCAAATTTTAGTTTGTTTTTCAATGCATGAGCAACAAAAACAATAGCACAAAATAGCACAGCTTTAGAGACCATTTATGTTATTATGAGAAGTGTAAAAGGGTCAAAGACGAAAAGGGTGTTTCAAGCACTAAAAAAATAAGTGTAATACAGCTTTAAATTTAGTTTTTTCCACATATTTTTATGGACCACTCTACAAGTCAGTCCCTCGTAAGAGTTTCTGATGATGTTAGTGATTTTCTCCGGCACCCCGTAATGTCTAAGCAGCCTCCAAAGTGATGCCCTGTCCACGCTATTGAACGCTTTCTCGAAGTCAATAAAATTGACGTACAGGGATGAGTTCCACTCGAGAGACTGATCCAGGATGATGTGCAGAGTTGCGATCTGGTCCGTGCATGATCTATCTTTGCGAAAGCCAGCCTGTTGGTTTCGTAGCTGGGGGTCGACAACGTCCTTCATCCTTTCCAGTAGAATCCTGTTAAAAACCTTCCCTGGGATGGATAGTAGTGTAATCCCTCTGTAGTTAGAACAGGAGCTCAAGTTGCCTTTCTTTGGTATCTTAATGAGATGACCCTCTCTCCATTCTGTGGGTACTTGTTCTTCTTCCCAGATCTTCTTAAAAAGGGGATGGAGCATCTCTACTGTAGTCTCTGTGTCAGTCTTTAATGCCTCTGCTGGAATACTGTCAGGTCCTACTGCCTTACCGCTTTTCGATTTCTTAATGGCTTTACAGATTTCTTCCTTTGTTGGTGCACTACAGTCTACTGGCAAATCTCTATCTGCTGGTTGGATATCTGGTGGGTCCTGTGGGGCTGGCCTGTTAAACAGCTCCTCAAAGTGTTCAGCCCATCTTCTCTTCTGTCCTTCATCATCATTTATCTGTTTTCCTGGTCTTTCTGGTTTACTAAACTTTCTGGTGGTTGCATACAAGTTCAATTCAATTCAGTTCAAGTTTATTTGTATAGCACTTTTCAAGATACAAATCGTTGCAAAGCAGCTTTACAGAAAATTAAGTTTCTACAATATATTTAGTAGTAGCTTGTCAGTGGTGACTGTCAAATTGATGTACATATGGCAGAAATGTACGGTAAAATTCAGTTAATGACGTAATCAAACAGATGATGAACACTATTAACGGCATTGATTATATGTTGCAATCAAAATTTTATCAAAATTTGGTAGTTTATGTTGTTTCAGGGTTGGCATCATCTGAGGTCCTCTGAAGGGGTTTGCATCATCTCTTCTCAGGTGTTCGGTCCTCTCAGGTCTTTGTAAGGGCTGGTTCCAGACTGAAGTTTGTGTAATTCAATCCCTGATGTCAATCCCGTGGCAGAAACAGATAAACAAATAGAGACATAATTAGCGTAGCTGCTGTTCCAACCAAGCAAAAATGATTTGTTCAACCCAAGCTAAGGAATAATAATGTGCATTTGATCAGCTATAACTGCAGTACAAGATTATGAGATGCATTATTTGTCCAGTCTAGAGGTTATGAATGCATGAACTAGCTTTTCTGCATCAGAAACAGGTAACACGTTTCGTAACTTGGCAATGTTTCTAAGATGGAAGATTGCTGTTTTTGTAGCATGGGAAATATGATTTTCAAAAGACAAGTTGCTATCTAATATAACACCCATATTTTTGTAGAGGAAGTAACAGTACATCCGTCTAGTTGCAAATTGTAATCTAAGAGATTCTGTGTACTGTTTTTTGGTCCAATAAGTAATATCTCTGTCTTGACCAATAATTTTCTCCTATTGAATTTGGATGTCCAATCATTTACATTTTTAATACACTCTATTAGCTTAGATAATTTAGAAGTTTCATCTGGTCTTGTTGAGATATATATAGTTGAGTATCATCAGCATAACAGTGGAAACTAATCTACTGGTGATAATTGAGATGACTCCCCATTTAAATAAACAAAGTGGAAGTGATGAGACAGGTAGGATCTAAACCATCTTAAAGCCTGCCCTTGTATACCCATATAGTTTTGTAGCACAAGTCTTTCATGTTTCTATTTCTGGCTGCTTCTTCTGCTTCTGCTATTAGGGTCTCTACATAGTTCTTTTTATCTGCTTTTATACTTTTCCTGACACTCTTGTTTGCTTGTGTATATTGTTCCTGTGCCTTGGCTTTCTCTGCACGTGTGCGGCTGTTGTTTATTTCCGCTTTCTTCTCTTTTCTATGTTCTATTTTCTTCATTGAGTCTTCCGAGATCCACTCCTTGTGATTGTACTTTAGTGGGCCCAAGACTTCTTGGCAGGTTTTCTTCATCGCCTCATTCACCGTCTTCCATTTCTTGTCTACTGTTTCCTCTTCATCATCTTCTTCCATTTGTTCTGGCTGAACTTGAAATTTGTTCGCGAGTGTCATTCCTCCAGTTTGGTTGAATCCCTCAGAAGTGCTGTGTTGAATCTATATCTCCGATTTGACGCCCTTGTCCAATTTCCCCTAAGTTTCGCTTTACACGGGCGACAAGGAGATGGTGGTCCAAAGCAACATCAGCACCTCATCCGACACGCACATCTTGGAGGGGCATCACTACCCGGCTTCATACCATCTCCCGCCAGAGATCCATCCTCTCCCAGAACCGATAGGTCAGTTGAAATCCTTGTTGGTGTTTCTGTAGCAAGGTCTTTTTTACGGGGAGGGGTTGCTAGCCCTTCGCCCAACCCTCCTCCTTTTACATCTGGGCTTGGGACCGGCAATGGCAGTAATTATTGGCAAGCAATTATTCTGACAATTGCAATCCTCAATACCTCAAAATGATTTTTCCTTGCTAAAGGCACGTTTACACCAAGTACGATAACTATAATGATAAAGATATAGTTAAAAAAATAATTCTAAATACAAAAGAGCAGATTCCACAGCACAACTAATGCTAACTGCACAGAGAAATGATATTGTTGGAATCTGAGAGCGAATTTTTTTAACAGCTGATGAATGATAAAAGCATTGACAGCCAATCAGAATCCACTCCACTTTAAAGAGCTCGAGCATTTAAAGCGGCAGATGATAAACCTGCAGCGCATTCTTAGAATGAACAAGGCTATCGTTCATTGGTGTGGAGGCTTGCATAGTTACTGTTATAGTTATCTTTATAGTTATTGTTCTTGATGTGCACAGGCTTTAAAAGTGCCACCCAAGCTACTGGGTCCGCACTTACTTTATTAGCTTTTTGGCTTTTTACAGTGCCTAGCAGCTCTCTCTGTTTTTAGGCATCTAAAATTAATCAATAACACAAATTAATCAATACAAAAATGCATTCAAATATTTAAATTTAAGTTTAACACATATTTGTCAATGTTGCACATTCATCATTTATCTGTAATATGATTAAGATGCTGAAATTGTTATTTTAACAGTGATACTGTCATTCAGTGTGATGGATGACACTGAATGACAAAAGCATTACCCTAAATCCTGGATCCTGGACATTCTAACCGGAAGACCTCAGTCAGTCCGTGTTGGCCACAACACCTCCAGCACTACCACACTGAGCACAGGCGCCCCACAAGGCTGTGTGCTCAGCCCGCTGCTCTTCACGCTGCTGACCTACGACTGCACTGCCAAGTTCAGCTCCAACCACATCATCAAGTTTGCTGATGACAGGTTTAACTGTGGTTGGTTTAATCAGCAAAAATGATGAAGCCTGTCTCTCAATGTGAGTAAGACAAAGGAGGTTGTGATGGACTTCAGGAGAAACTCTGTTGACCACCCCCCACTGACCATCGACAGCTCGACTGTGGAGAGAGTCAGCAGCACTAAATTCCTTGGGGTGCACATAACAGAAGACCTCACCTGGACCACCAACACTACATCTCTCATTCCTGCGCCTACTTAAAAGAGAAGGTCTCCCTCCACCCATCCTCACCACGTTCTACAGGGGAACCATTGAGAGTGTGCTGACCAGCTGCATCACTGTCTGGTACAGGAACTGCAGTGCTGCTGACCGCAAGACTCTACAGTGGACAGTGAACACAGCTGCAAAGATCATCGGTGCCCCTCTCCCCTCCATCCTGGACATTTTCCTTACACGATGCTCCAGCAAAGCCAACAGTATCGTGAAGGACCCCACCCATCCCTCCCACAGTCTCTTCCAGGTCCTACCATCAGGAAGACGGTACCGGAGCATCAGAGCCCGCTCCGCCAGACTGCTCAACAGCTTTTTCCCCCAGGCTGTGAGAGCCCTGACCTAAAATCGCCCCGCCCTCCTCTGAAACCCCACACACCCCCCTACCTCCTGAAACATGGACCATCTCACCAACCTTACCACATCACAAAAAACTGTCTGAAACAATTCGAAGTGTGCTACAGGGCCTGCACAAACCACCTGTAGAAACACACTCTCCTCTATGCGCACTAGACACTTTTCACACACACTGCTTTGTGTACATAATCCCACAAAAGACTCCGTAATAGGTGTGTTTACATGCGCATGCACTACAAATCATCTGCACTGTTCCCCAGCCAGCTGCTTGACTTACGATGTTTCAAGGACTTAATAAGATAACACAAATGTTTACTTGTGAATGCACCAAAAATCATATTGCACTACTTGCTTCTTGACCTTAAAGAGCAGGTCATATGGGTTTTCCAAAAATAGCTCTTTTGCAGTTTGTAAGGTAGCTATCCTCCTACATTAGCATAATCCCCGCCTGCCCACGAAATACGAACACTTTCTGTGTCGAGAAGATGCTGTGTTCCACGATACCACAGCAATACAATTCGAACCTTTTGTTGTGTGCTCGTCATTTTGCAGAGGACTGCTTCTGTAATCTTGGTGAGTGCAATGCGGGATTTGCTAAACGCTTGTCAATAATAACAATGAATGCAATAAAATTGCTGTCACATCACGTAAAGTACCACATACAAAGTTTAAATTTAGCACTGAGAAACGTCCTGGTTTGTGCTCTTCATTTTACCGAGGACTGCTTCTCTAATCTTGCCTTTTATATTCGTTGGCTTCTAATCTTCTTTAGTTGGACCAACAAGCGTCTCCGAACCACAACCTGTAAGTACGATTGATATTTCCAGGTAAAGCACAATATTACTGTTTTACTAAAATAGTTCTGATAATTCTCTGTGAACCCACTATTTCTTAAGAATGTGTTGATTAATGTAGACTGTCGTTGTTCTAATTACTTCGATTAATAATAAAGAATGTAGTGTAGCGCACAGACTTTATAGTCATTGTGAAAGTGCTGTTTATGTAGTTATAGAGTTAATGCAGAGAGTAAAAGACCCGGTAGAGAGAAACGAGTTAGTTAGGCTGGTGTGCATGTGATACAGCTGTTCTGCGTTATAATTAAAGATTAAGACACGGGGCGTCTTTTGTCTGTCATTCTTCAGACATTACAGTAGACATATTTTGGTTTTCAAACTGTATTGTTTCATCAGTTAGTCGCAATAGCACTCGACTAACGTATTCACCATTATTGTTTTGTTAAGTGTTCACAGTTTAGCAGCTAAACTTTAGCTGTGGGCACGATTCGCTTGCATAAGTGTTAAACAAAATGTTTTTATGTCATTATTTTAAGAACTGATTGGAGCACTATATTATTGTTTTAGATAAAAGCGTCTGCTAAATGCATAAATTATTGTTTTATGTAAAGGTGCAAGCTAGGGTTGCCAGGTTGTCACAACAAAATCCGCCCAATTGCTACTCCAAACTAGCCCAATCGTGTTTCGAGGGTGGTCCCCCTTTAAAAATCACGTTCTGGGGTGTAAAATACACGCTTTCAGTTGGGGTTCCCCTGGTAAATTCGCATTCCGGTGCCTAAATATGACGTTATTGGGTTGCTACAACCTGCGACATCAAAAACAACCTTGGCAACACAGATGGTAGCGCTCGCTAACTTGCTCAAGCGCTCCTCTTTGTGCCAATCACAACAGGCTTGGCCAGCTGACCAATCAGAGCAGAGTAGGCTTATGGAAGGGAGGGGTTTACAGACATTTCGCTCAGAACTGAATCGAAATCATGGACAAATGACTCTATGTATAAATGTATATTCTGGGAAAATTACAGTGTTTTCTGACCTTAGATGCATTTAAACCTGTTGTAGGGGACTCCAACACAATATTAGGACACTTTACATGATATTATGCAAAAGAGGTATTTAATTAAAGAGCAGGTCATATGTTTTTTTTTAGTTATTATATAAAGTACTTGTATAGTCTATCTTAGGTTATGTGTATGTATAGTCAACTATTTATAGTATATGTATAGTTAGATTACCGCTTCAGAAAGTTAGCTATGTAGGTTTAAAAATTGTTCTTACGTCTAGTGTTGTATGTTTATATGTATGTTTATTTATGTAGCACCGTGGTCCTGTGAGACACGACATTTCGTTCCACTGTATGTCCCCACATGCAGCAGAATGACAATAAAGCTCAACTTGACTCGACTTGACTTGACTTAAATGATGAACCTTCTACTTCCGCTTATATTGCAGGCAATCAACTGCCACCTATTTCAAAAACTGTTCTTAGCCAGTAAAATTTATCACAATTATTTACAACATCTACTTATTCTTCAAAAAATCTAACAATAAAAGTGTTTTTTTGGCATTTCACTGAATGTCATGTGTTTTTGTAACTTCGGATACCACACCCATGAAAAGGTGGAATTAACAAATATTTAAGAGCAATAAATTCACTTTTCTGCAGCACCACACAGTCTTTCAGGAGCCATTTGATGATGTCACAGACTGCTGTATGACTATCAGATTGTATTTGATTTCAGAATGGCTTCTTGTTCCTGTTACACCGAATGACCTCTGACAAACTGCATTTTCGGGACAAAAGTCCCCTGGTTATTTCATAACTTTAAAAAAACAATAAGACATAGTCCTTTTAACATAACACAGCCAACACTTATTTGAAAATGCCAAGCCGACCAATGTATTTTTTAAGTTGGTATTCTATATGTTTATTTAAAGATGTAATGGTAAAATCAAAGTCTGGACCATTACACTGAATGACAATTATTCACTTTGGTGAAAATAAAATGTCAAAATATGGGGGAAATAATGTTCCAAAGTTATTTGAAATATGAAAGTAGACCCTTTACTTGCATTTGACATGTATTTTTATGTATATAAAATTACTTTTGTAAACTTAAAACGTATAATAAAATTTATATCAAAAATAAATAAATAACTATATACATCCAGGGAGAGAACATGTGTCCTAATTCAATTCCATCCAGAATAACCTCAAATGACCTTCATTATGTATATAGATATTAAACAGTACATGCATATTTGCAAACATGTACATATACACACACAAGCATATATTATATTACATGTATCTATCTATATATTGATCATCTTTGTAAACGTAATTTTATGCGGACACCAAAATGGTGACGTCTTGTCTTTGACCCAAAAATATTTTTAGTTCATTATGAAAGGGGCAAAAAAGATTAGTCATTAATGGAAAACACTGGATATAAGAAAATTATTGACTAACAGAACCTGTGATGTCAGCTTGAGCTTTTTTCATAATTGTATTGTCTTTTGTTGTTGTTGTTTCAGCAGAGTGGAGGGAGTCTCACGCTTACAGTTTAGACCCTCGGCCTCTTGTCCGACCAGCAGCTTCACTCCCACTAAAGCGTCCCTGAATAGATGCACCCGATCAGTGAATGCTGAACTACAGAGAGTCAAAGACCAGCACAAAACCAGCATGAGGAGCAAGTATGAGAGATTATTTGAGGGACTGAAACTCCAGGAGAATGAAAGCCTCCTGAACAGCATCTACACACAGCTCTACATCATAGAGGGAGAGAGAGAAGGAGTGAATAAAGAACATGAGGTTTTACAGATGGAGAAAACAGCCAGAACACAACACTCACAAGACACTCCAATCTACTGCAATGACATCTTTAAAGCCTCAGCTGAAGCAGGATCTGAGGAGAAAGAGCAGATCAAGACTGTTCTTACTAAAGGCATCGCTGGAATCGGAAAAACCGTCTCTGTGCAGAAGTTCATTCTGGACTGGGCCGAGGGAAAAGCCAATCAGGATGTAGATTTCATGTTTGTGCTTCCATTTCGAGAGCTGAACTTGATCCGAGATCATCAGTACAGTCTTCACAGACTTCTGCTGGACTTTCATCCTGAACTTCAAGATCTGGACTCACAGATTTATGAGGAGTGTAAAGTTGTGTTCATCTTTGATGGTCTGGATGAAAGCAGAATCACACTGATGTTTTCAGACGCTCAGAAAGTTTGTGATGTGACTGAGACTTCATCAGTGGCTGTGTTGATGTCAAAGCTCATGAAAGGAGAGCTGCTTCCCTCTGCTCTCATCTGGATCACCTCCAGACCAGCAGCAGCCAATCAGATCCCCTCCAAATACATCAACCGTCTGACAGAAATTCAGGGATTCAATGAGCCTCAGAAGGAGGAATATTTCAGGAAGAGAATCAGTGACCAGCATCAAGCCAGCAGAATCATCTCACACATCAGAAGAGCAAGAAGCCTCCACATCATGTGCCACATCCCCGTCTTCTGCTGGATCTCATCCACTGTGCTTCAGAAGCTCCTGGAAGAAGATCTGAGTGCAGAAATCCCTCAAACTCTGACTGAAATGTACATCCACTTCCTGCTGATTCAGATCAACATGAGGAACCAGAAAATACAACACATCAGATGAGGGCAGAAGAAGACTGGTACCAGCCGTGATCAACTGCAGAAAAGCTCTGTGAGTGTTTAATTATTAGCAAATGAATAATCATGTTTAAAGAAGACCTATTATAAGCCACGTTGAGTATGTTTCAGAAATATTATGCTTAATCCCATAACCATGTTAGATCTTTGGTGGAAACGTCTCAGGTTACGTATGTAACCATGGTTCCTTGAGAAGGGAACGAGACACTGCGTCCTCTAGGGGTCGCTATGGGGAATGCCTTCAGCGTGACCCGTGTCTGAAGCATACATCTAAAAACAACAATATCATTGGCCGGCGACAGCCTATGACGTCATTACCCTGTGCGATCACAGTATAAAAGGGCGCCGGGATAACACATCATCCGCTTCTTCATCTGAAGCTTTTTTCCGCAGCATGGCAAGGAAACTAGAGGACGCAGTGTCTCGTTCCCTACTCAGGGAACCATGGTTACATAACATGTGTCCTAATTCAATTCCATCCAGAATAACCTCAAATGACCTTCATTATGTATATAGATATTAAACAGTACATGCATATTTGCAAACATGTACATATACACACACAAGCATATATTATATTACATGTATCTATCTATATATTGATCATCTTTGTAAACGTAATTTTATGCGGACACCAAAATGGTGACGTCTTGTCTTTGACCCAAAAATATTTTTAGTTCATTATGAAAGGGGCAAAAAAGATTAGTCATTAATGGAAAACACTGGATATAAGAAAATTATTGACTAACAGAACCTGTGATGTCAGCTTGAGCTTTTTTCATAATTGTATTGTCTTTTGTTGTTGTTGTTTCAGCAGAGTGGAGGGAGTCTCACGCTTACAGTTTAGACCCTCGGCCTCTTGTCCGACCAGCAGCTTCACTCCCACTAAAGCGTCCCTGAATAGATGCACCCGATCAGTGAATGCTGAACTACAGAGAGTCAAAGACCAGCACAAAACCAGCATGAGGAGCAAGTATGAGAGATTATTTGAGGGACTGAAACTCCAGGAGAATGAAAGCCTCCTGAACAGCATCTACACACAGCTCTACATCATAGAGGGAGAGAGAGAAGGAGTGAATAAAGAACATGAGGTTTTACAGATGGAGAAAACAGCCAGAACACAACACTCACAAGACACTCCAATCTACTGCAATGACATCTTTAAAGCCTCAGCTGAAGCAGGATCTGAGGAGAAAGAGCAGATCAAGACTGTTCTTACTAAAGGCATCGCTGGAATCGGAAAAACCGTCTCTGTGCAGAAGTTCATTCTGGACTGGGCCGAGGGAAAAGCCAATCAGGATGTAGATTTCATGTTTGTGCTTCCATTTCGAGAGCTGAACTTGATCCGAGATCATCAGCCCTGTGCGATCACAGTATAAAAGGGCGCCGGGATAACACATCATCCGCTTCTTCATCTGAAGCTTTTTTCCGCAGCATGGCAAGGAAACTAGAGGACGCAGTGTCTCGTTCCCTACTCAGGGAACCATGGTTACATACGTAACCTGAGATGTTCCCTTTCGAGGGAACGAGACACTGCGTCCTCTATGGGTCGCTATGGGGAACAGTATACCCACGCCACCATGCTGAGGGGAGTGGATGCCAGAAAACGATGGCGAGCACTAAGTACCAACTCTTACCATAGCCATGGGAGTTGCCCCAAAGGATGTCTTGACGGCTGTCAGTGACATTATCCCCTTCGGCCAACTAGGGCAGAGCTCAAGGCTTGGAATCAGAAGAAAAAGATTACTTTAAGGGGATACGGCCAGGTGTCTAAAAAACCACACCAGACCCTGGCCTGTCAACCAGGGGACCTAGCTTCTGAATAAACCTGCTGAAAGAACTGACTCGACAGATCTTAGGTAGCAACACCCTGCTCAGAAATGTATCAACAGAGATACATTATTTGAGTGGAGCCCAAGGCGAAAACTGGGGCCTAAGCCAACTCAGAGAAAGGGAACGAGACTGACAGCACGTAACCCTTACCATACAGGATTTTAGAAAGTGCGCAGAATGCTTAGCGTGCACACTTACCACAATGTGGATTTTAGAAAGTGCACAGAGCTTAGCGTGTGCACTTACCATAGCATGGATTTAGAAACACCGTTGCTTAAAGGGTTAGTTCACCCAAAAATTTTAATTAACCTGTGTTTTACTCACCCTCAAAGCATCCTAGGTGTATGTGACTTTCTTCTTTCAGACGAATCCAATCGGAGTTATATTAAAAATTGTCCTGGCTATTCCAAGCCTTTCAATGGGGGTAAGCGGGTGTTGGTTGTCAACAGTTCAGAGGACGTGAAATAAAGTGCGCGCATCCGTAATATAACGTCCCTCACACGGCTCCGGGGGGTGAATAAAGGCCTCCTGTAGCGAATCCATTCCGAATTTTTGTAAGAAAAATATCCATATTTCAAACGTAATAAACACTTTTTTTCTCACTTCCACTGACTGTTGTATGCACATTTATGGACATTTATGCAGTAAGTATTTAATCTGTAAAACCGTAAAATGACACTAAATACACAGATATATGGAGAGGATCCTCTGAGGTTCATAATTCAAAACTCAAAACTCTCAGGTTCATAATTTAAAACTCAGCAAAACATTGCTACATTTTTCAATGTGTGAATATTTGAAGCAAAGAAACAGTCAAGAGCTCATCTGATCTCTGATTTTAATGAACCGGAATGATAAAATTATCAGATTATCTCCTCACACTCATGATGTAATGTGATTCAGGCTGGAATGTTAAACATATTTTGTTCCAGGTTCCTAAGAACAGACATTTCATTATTTTATTTGTTAATATTTCATCTCTTCTAGTCTTGCTGGCTGTAATCTCACTGCTCAGTGTTGTGAGAGTTTGTCATCAGCTCTACAATCCTCAAACTCTGTCCTGACAGAGCTGGACCTGAGTAACAATGACCTGCAGGATTCAGGAGTGAAGCTGCTCTCTGATGGACTGAAGAGTCCAAACTGTCAGCTGCAGATACAAAGGTTTGAATTTCACATTCATTTTTATTAATTTGTTTTAAAGAATGAACTAATGTCAAGTCACTTTTCACAGTCCAGGGATTTTCTAAACTGCTTTACTGAATATTGTTCCTTAATGTTTTAAAGTCAGAGTGAGCAGCCAAATGTAAAAAAAAAGAGAAGAGAAGAGAAAAAGGAGCCGGTTGTCTTCTGACATCACAATGAATGTACATATGTTAAATATGATCTAGTTACATTGTGTGTTTGTATGCGCGAGAGATAATTATGTCTATTGAATAAATTATGTTTTCATTCATTTAAACAATGTTTAGTGTAGTTACTAAAGTCCATCCTGAATTGACTAGAGAGATGCAGTCCGCAGTCAGTGACGTGTATCTCACTGTCTGGCTGCTGTAGTTTAGAGTTGTTCAGCAACATGAGGCTGGGGCTGAACAGGAGCTGATACAGCTTCACATGCACTTCTCTCTTCACAACAACACACTGCTCTGCTCTATTCTGTAGGTTGTCTGGCTGTATGGTGACAGAGGAAGGCTGTGGTTATTTGTCTTCAGCTCTGAGTTCAAACCCCTCACACCTGAGAGAGCTGGATCTGAGCTACAATCACCCGGGACCATCAGGAGTCCAGCTGCTCAAACACAAGCTGGAGGATCCCAACTATAAACTGCAGATACTCAAGTATGTCAAGCACTAATACTGACATGCTGAATGTGTGTGAATGATGCAGATGTAAAGTAATGTGTGTTTTTGTGTTTATAGTGTGGATCATGGAGGAGAGATCATGATGACAGCAGGATCACGAAAGTGTAGGTCTACACGCGCACACACACACACACACACACTCACACACTCACTCACCTGTTTTGTTGCTCTATGTTTCTTTCTTCTTGTGTTCAGATGCCTGTGATCTCACACTGGATCCAAACACAGTAAACACTCGTCTCATTCTGTCTAATGAGAACAGCAAAGTGGCACACGAGGGAGAGAAACAGCCATATCCTGATCATCCAGAGAGATTTGATGAGTGTCATCAGGTTCTGTGTGTTGAGAGTCTGACTGGGGAAAGGAGAGAGAGATGACTGTATATTTGGATACAACAACAAATCCTGGAGTCTGATCTGTTCTGTTAACAGATTCACTGTCTGGCACAATAAGAACAGCACTGATATACCTGCCCCATCATCCTCTAAGAGAGCAGGAGTGTATGTGGACGTGTCGGCCGGCACTCTGTCCTTCTACAGCGTCTCTGACACACACACACTCACACACTTACACACATTCAACACCACATTCACTGAACCCCTCTGTGCTGGATTTAGGGCTTATCCTGATTCCTCAGTGTCTCTGTGTGATTAAACAATCGAGAGACTCTCTGTAAATCCTCTTTCTGATGTTCACATGCACACAAACGCATAAAATCTCACATCATTACATTTGTATTCATTCGTTTTATTAATATTTTTCATTATCATCCAGAAGTTATGAATCTTGATCAGACACACATACTGTTCTGAATCTTTAATAAACAGAGTAATACGTTTTATTTAATATTTATATTGTAAACTGATCATCAAATTTAATAAAAGTACATTTATGACCCATTTAACTCTTTCCCCACCATTGACGGAATTTTCTGGCTTTCTGTGTTTTCACTATTATATGGTAGGAGAAGGGGCGTTTCCTCTGAGGAGGCAAGGGAGGCAGTGTCTCCTCAAAATATTGGATGAGAAAAAAACATTTGTGGTACAAAAATAAAACAACGCCCATATTACAAAGTATAACATTAAAAAGCGTATAAATTACTAATTTTTCTAAAGTAACACTGTCCAACAGCTACACCAGCAGGTAAAGTTACAGCGGAGGCTTGCGTCCCCTGAGCCCATTGACTATTAACAGAGACCCCATAGTGTGCCGTGACTTTACTGGGGGGTAACTGAGAATGAATGAGGGAAAGTCACGTGAGAGGAGGCAATGCCTCCATCGCGATATGATTGGTTA